GTCCACGACGTCCGCAACATCACCAAAAAAAATGTAAGCCACACCTTTTTTCTATTTCTTTCTCCTCTTCGGTTGAGTTTTGTCAAGTTTTCTGGCCTCTACAAACCACCTTAGCTTCTGCCCAAACTTGACAAGGGCTTGCTCCCATCAAAGAAATCCAGGACCAACTCTTCTCAGTGTCATCTTTTCATTTTATTTCTCTTTTCTCCTTTTTTTCTTTAAATCACTGTACTTTTCAATACATGACACCCAAGCAGGTTGAAAACCAGTGGCATTTCTGCAGGAGCTTGAAGATGAGGTCTTTGTTTGTAGAGATTCTTTCAACACAGGTGTGCTGAGTAGACTTATAGGCTCTTGAAGGCCTGAGTGAGAGACGGGTGTGCTTGATTTTCTGTAGGCCACGTGCCAGCTGGGTGGAGATGGTATTGCACTCACACAAATACACCAATTGCTGTTTTAACTTGACAAGTTTCATTCAGCACCCAGATGCAAAATCTTCCTCCAAAATAAGGGAAAAGTCACGACGGAGTATTAGGGCCAGATTAAAACATTTTTTGGGGGAATTCATTATGAGATTAAAGTCGTTATTAAATATGCCGACAATAAAAACCCTCTGAATGTCCCGCATCCACGATAACTCTGCAGTCACCACTTCTGGACGTTTTCTCTCCACAAAAGCAGCCATTTTCCCACAAGTCTCCTGGTTTCTTTCTGCAGGAAAGATGCATTTTCTTCCATCTTCTTTTTACCGTCCTGATCCGTATGACAATCTGATGCTGATATGCCAAAACTTTAAGTATCTCTTTGTTTGTGAAAGCTGTTCTTAAAAACATCCATCCATCCATCCATTATCAATACCACTTATTCCCTCATGGGGTCGCGGGGGGAACTGGAGCCTATCCCAGTGGTCAACTGGCGAGAGGCAGGGTACACCCTGGACAGTCCGCCAGTCCATCGCAGGGCCACACAGAGACACACAAGGACCAACAACCACTCACACTCACATTCACTCCTAAGGGCAATTTCCCCAATCTCCAATCAGCCTAACATGCAGGTTTTTGGACTGTGGGAGGAAGCCGGAGAACCCGGAGAGAACCCACGCAGACACAGGGAGAACATGCAAACTCCACCCAGAAAGGTTCTGGATCCCCCGGGATTCGAACCCAGAACCCTCTTGCTGGGAGGCGACAGTGCTAGCCGCCCGTTCTTAAAAACATTTCCACAAATTCCATGCTCCAGGACCCTCATTTTATCAACTCCCGTCTTCTAAAACAGGAGAGAATATTCACCACTTTATTCTCGTAATTAATTCTCACCATATTCAATAAAGACTCTAATCTTGTAATTAATTCTCACCATATTTAACAACGCGACACGGTGGTGTGGTGCTTAGCACCATGGCCTCACAGCCAGAGGGTTCTGGGTTGGAGTCCCGGGGGAACCAGGACCAGAGGGTTCTGGGTTGGAGTCCCCGGGGGAACCAGGACCAGAGGGTTCTGGGTTGGAGTCCCGGGGGAACCAGGACCAGAGGGTTCTGGGTTGGAGTCCCGGGGGAACCAGTACCTTTCTGGGTGGAGTCTGCATGTTCTCCTGTGTCTGTGGGTTCTCTCCGGGTTCTCCGGCTTCCTCCCACCGTCCAAAAACCTGCATGTTAGGTTGACTGGACATTCCAAATTGCCCTTGGGAGTGCATGTGAGTGTGTGTGTGGTTGTTGGTCCTTGTGTGTCTCTGTGTGGCCCTGTGATGGACTGGAGACTGTCCAGGGTGTACCCCACCTCTAACCCATTGACCACTGGGATAGTTTACCCCGCGACCCCATTAGGGAATAAGAGGTTATTATAATGGATGGATATTTAACAACTACTTTAATCTAATAATTGATTCATTTTAAAAAATCAAATGTGGCCCTAATACACCTTCATATTTTTACATTTCTTATTTACATTTTTTAAATTATTTTTAAAACTATTTTATTATTATTTTAATACTTTTTTTTTGTATTTATCTTTTTTTATTTTCTACTCTGTTTACTGTCTGTACTCTATTTTCTCACTGCTGTGCAGTTTTAATCAGATGTATAGATTCTAGACTACACGTTGCCCATTATCCAGGATGGAATATCTGAAGTTTGGTTGTATGAAAGTTATGAAACTGTAATAGCATCTCCTAGTGTGTTTCTTAAAGTTTGTGTCGTGTGTATGTATACTGGTTATTTTATGCGAAATAAAGAAAAAAAAAATATATTTCTTTTTAAAGAATTTGAACCCTTTCAGTTGAATCCTATGAAGGACTTCTTAAGTATGGTGAATGGGCTCAAGATTGGCCTTCAATATGGGATGGGAAGATTTACCTGTGTTTTTTTTGTTTTACTTATTAAAGAAAACATGTTATTTTGATGTGATTCGGTCAGATCCTTTCAGATTCTTCACCATCTTCTCCTTAACTCATTGACTGGCAGCCATTTTCAGAACAGAGTCCCATACTGCCAGAGTTTTTTGAGCATTTTGACTGATTTTTCAAGACCCACAGAATAGTTTGTGCTATGACTATGTAAACACCGAACACACCAAAAGAAAGAGTAGACTCTCTTCTTTCATCAGGAAAAAAAAAGTGCTTCTACTTTATTCCGTTCTTCCTTGACTTGCGTCTCACCGGCGACATGTTCTCTCATAGAACCGTTAGCTTTTTCTTATTTGCCTACAGTCTATGCTCATCTCCCATCAAAAGTGGCACTGCCACCTAGAGGGTCAATTTGTTACTACATACTCTGTCTAGAAGCCCATATTTACGGACAAGCTTTAGCAGATCGTCCCCCAGCCACTCTCGTTGAAAAAACATAAAAGACGTCTATAGACGTCTTCGGCAGCCAATGAGTTAAAGGTGGAACAATGTCCCCTCCCGGTCAGCGGTTGCTGTTGTGAGGTCACTAACAGGGGGCGCTGTTGTCTCTCTCAGATTCAGGAGTGGGGTCCATTCGACCTGGTCATCGGAGGAAGTCCCTGCAATGACCTGTCCATCGTCAATCCGGCAAGAAAAGGCTTGTATGGTAGGTACCTGCTGCATTTATTCTATTAATCAGGAAATGTTGTTTTTTTAAACATTTCTTAGAACAAGGTCCTACACAGAGTGTCACACATTATGGCAAATATTAAAACTCATTGGTATCAAACTAAGAAAATATAAAATACAGAGTGGATGAATATTCTTTGTAGGTTTAGTTGGTAATAGTAGCCTAATAAAAAACAATAAAAATAATAATATTAGAATAAAAACACCATCTAGCCCTGTTGAACAGGGACAGTGTTCTCACCTCTCCAAATACATCATAAAAGGTAACCATTTTTTAAGATATAAGCAAATCTGAAGTCGCAGGTTTGCCGTTATGTGTTTCATGTAATTTACATCCTCAAGCCTTTGAGACCACTGGTCCAGTGTGGGTGGACGGGGCTTAAGCCAGTTTACTGTGATGGTTTTATGTGTGATTAATAAAAGAGCACCGAGCAAAAACACACTGTTTTTCCCGATATTGGGTATTTCCCTAAATACCAAAGATTAGTTTCTGTGTTTCAATTGCTCTATTTAAATTCCAAATCTCACATATTTGTCATTTTTGCAATCCCCATTTTGGGCAAATCCCAGAAGAGTCTATCTAACACAGGGGGAGCAGTTCTTATAAGGAGTTTTGAAATATCTTGCTCTCAACTTCCAGCCAAATTCCCTCAAAATTGGGCTGCGTAAACATTTCTCCCACCCAAGAACTCTCCCACTCCTCATAGTGGATTATGACAATAGCTTCTAATTCCCTTTTAGCTTTCACATCAAGTGTATCCACTTATGTCCATAAGGATCCTCTCATATATACATTATGTTATGGTTTTCTTCTTCCTCTTGTTCTCAATTATCTCAATCCAATATTGTTCAAAATGAGATGGAACGTCTTTCAATGTGGAGTTTTAACTCTTTTAAATTATTGGTTGGGGATCATTTGTTTGCGTTATGGCATTTTTAAAGTTTTTTTCTTTTTCATTTCAATCCGTCTGACACAAATTCAGTAAAACAAATTATGTTTGTGTGTGTTTGTGTAGGGAAATATAAAAAAATGATGAAAACGCATTACATTCTGTTCTCTCTGAGCCAAAAACCGGTTGTAATAAATCATCTAAAGACATCTAAAGCTTTGGTTGCGGCTGGTCTTTTGTCTCCCGGCTGCAGAAGGTACTGGGAGGCTGTTCTTTGAATTTTACCGCCTGCTGAGCGAGGCCAAGCCCAAAGAGGGGGAGGACCGGCCTTTTTTCTGGATGTTCGAGAACGTGGTGGCCATGGGCGTCAACGACAAGAGGGACATCTCCAGATTCCTCGAGGCAAGCCATAAAGTCCACTCTAAACCACTCATTTTCATACATAACGTCTAATCTAGGATCGAATGCCAAAGAGACTAAGGATGGTATTACCGGCCTAAAGATGGTTATTTGCAAAAGAAATGGAAAACAGAAGGGATTCAAGGCC